GTTTGTTCTGACCCAGCGCTTGGTTTTTAAAAGGTACAAACCCAGCTATTGGGTTGTTTTGACCCAGCGGTTGGGTTCAAAAAGGGACAAGCCCAGCTATTGGGTTGTTTTGACCCAGCGGTTGGGTTGTTTTGAATATATTTAACCCAGCATTTTTTAGAGTGTAATTACAATATTTAAAAAAAAATGTATTGTTAGTTTTTATTGTAAAATTTGTTTATTTTAAATTTGACAAATGTTAAAATAAAATATTGATTTAATATTACATGTATTTTGAATATTTTTACTATAAATTCATATTATTGTATTATATTATATAATCATTATATTGTATTATATAATTAATATTATGTTTATTCAATTTAATATTAACTTTAATTTTAATGTAAATAAAAAAAAATCAAAACAAAAGTTATTTTTATCGCCTAATTGTTTTTATCTCACATTTGTTTTTTTGTTGTCTTTTTCACCTTCACAGTCTATGACCTTCTTTGTAACTTTCCGTCTATTTGTATTATTATGGCTATACTTTTTGGACTTTTTTAGGCATGGTTTGTGATTTCATTGTTTTTAGTTTTAGGTAATATTTTATAGTTAATTTTACATTTTATATTAATTAATTATTAGATTAAACAACACAAGTAACACCAAACTCACCATAGACGATCACTGTAGCCGTGGTGCTTCGTCTCTTAGCAACGATGTTCTTAGCGACGCAGGTGTAGTTAGCGGTGTCAGAAAGCCGTGCCTGTTTGATGATCAGGTTATGATCGATGGTGATGTAGAAATTCCGATCGTCTGCAGGATCAATAATCTCTTCGTTCTTCAGCCATTCCACCTGCACAGAGACAGACAGACGAGAAGACATTAGTGAAATCTGTACGGCTGCACCTGATGGCCTGTTCCGGGACACGTAATATCAGGACGTCCTCATGCAATATCTGCCCCATGCACGCATTCATCCGCCTATGCGTATGCAATTATCAAACGATTTAATTAGCTTCAAAGCTAACTCCTCAGGGCAGCAACTGACTCAGAGCTTGAGCAATTTTGTAAAACGATAGCACACATTTTAGAAAAAGAACATTGCGGAGACATTAAAAGGAAATTGCATGCAGGCAAAAGACTTGTGAGGATATTTTTAGACACAGTGTTTAATCACAAAAGTGGCCTGCTAATATCTCCAGAAAACATTGAGGGAGAAACAGGAAGTGGCTGGTGGTTTATCTTGAAGAGCATCTCGAGGACGTCAAAATCAAAGGAATTTGAACAGAAGGCAGTTCAACACACAACTGACTCTTCACTAAGCCCCGCCCTAAACACATTACTGCACAATCATATCTCGACCAATCAACTGTTGCTGACTGTCATTTTCTTACACATTTTTAATGCAAGTCTAAAGAGGATCTGCATATTTTGAACAGAATTTTACAGAAATTATGAGATATACTACAATGAATAAATAAAATAAAAAAGTGAGCAAATAAAAAATGATTTGCCTTCATTCAGAATAACACAAAATAACTCTAATAAGCAGATACATATTGGATAAAATAGTCAATTTTAAGTGGATACTTTTTTTTTTTACAATGCTATTACTTATAATCAGAATGAAATACTGAATGAAACATATACATGTGTATGTTTATATGTTATGTACCTGTATATGTGTGTGTGTATTATGCACACACAAAGAAATGTTTCTTGAGCATCCCTTGCGAATGATTTCTGAAGGATCGAGTGACACTGAAGGCTGGAGTAATGATGCTGAAAATTCAGCTTTGCATCACAGGAATTAAATTAAATTTGAATAAATATTCAAATAAAAATCAGCCATTTAAATTGTATTAATATTTCACAATATTACTGTTTTTATGGTGGTTTTTTTAATCAAATAAATGCAGCCTCGGTGAGCAAAGAAACACTATACATTCTCATGACTATTTTGAGTTAACTGCAGTGCATTCTGGGATTGTTTTATAGATGCATTGCTGCCTCAAAATTGGTCCGAAATTAGGTTTCTTGCAGGGTAGTGTCATTATGCTGCCTAAAGTGTGGAACAGCCAAGTCAATGATGCCTTAAAATGCTGCCTAGTTAGGCAGCTCACTAGGTTTTACAGCAGAGATTCTCCACACATATTTCTCCAAATGCAGAAATAGTTGAAAAGTCATTAGCCCTGCCGCTCAACAGGAAAGTAGCCTTCGCATTACAAGCTGCTCACATTTACATCTGATGCATTAATACTACAGCATGTCAATCAGGCGAGCGAGACGCAGACGTGTGTGTGTGTTTGCGTGTGTAAATGTGTCACAGCGGTGTACCTGCAGCTCGTCTGGAGGGAATAGAGTAAAAATATCACCCTCTCATTGGCTCAGCAGGGGGGAAACTCACCCAATCAGCTGCTCACGCTCTCCAGCTGTGACATTAGCACTTGCACGTGCATGCACACTTCCCTATGCATTTTAGCTCATTACATCTAGCAAAGGTAACCCAACTCCCAGCTGTCAAACCAAACCCTCAGATTACTGTATTCGGTGCTATTGTCACCTCCACACACGCACACATTTTTCTACAATAGCAATAGCAGAAAATGAGCACCTTCAGGGTCCCACGGGTTCACACACACACACACACACACACACACACACATGCGTGTGAGCTCTTGCATGTGATAGTTGTTCTCAATATGCTCGTATCGTAATCACGCTGTGCTTGTTAGAGAGCATTTTGTTGTATACAACACCTGTTTCAAATATTCATCTACAACTCCACCTGAATCAAGCTCGGAAAACAGCGTACACAGTTCTGTAGATGTAAAACATGAGCGCACGCATACAGCAGTGAAAAAAATACACTGAAAAAAGGAGAAAAGGAGAAAAGTTGATGAATATAAAATGAAGGATATTACATATACATATATAGATGATATTGATTATCGTTATATATAGATTCAAACTAAAACCTATAATACTTTATATTCATTGCTCAATTTTATTACTTATAAAATAAACATTAACTGAAATCAAATTAAATATTACTTCAGCTAGTTGCCAAGGCAACATTTATCATTTTAAGTTTTAGTAGAAGTACTAAAATAACAAAACAATTTTTTTTAAATAATAATATTAAAAATGGCAAAGACTTTAACAAAAAATAAAATGAAAAATAAAATTGTATTCAAAATATGAACCTAAACTATAATAGTAAATATATAACAAATATTGAGAAATTCACAAATGCATGTTTACTTTCCAATCCAAATTATCACTCAAATTGCTATGCTGATAATATAATTTCTTTAAAAAAAAAGAAGTATTAAATAAAAAAAAAATAATGTAAATAGATGCATTTTTACTAGTGGTCTCAGACATTTGGAGCCTACAATACACGGACTACTAGTAAAAAGTTTGCACGCACATGACTAAATGCAGGTTTTGTTCTTAACTTTATGCTTAAAATACATTCAATTAGTTTGTAAACCAGTGTTACTTTAGTATGCTATTATAGTTTTTTTATATGTATATTTTTTTATTAAGTTGTAGTTCAGTTATTTATTTAGTTTTAGTTATTTTAGTACTTAACTTTCAGCTAGTTGCCAAGGCAAGTTTAAGTTCAGCTTCCACTCTCCAGCAGTCCGATAGGTCTAACTCAATCTGACCTAATGACATCATTATCACATGGCACAGCTGATTGGTTCTCTCCTGTATCGGTAGCCAATGAGCTCGCTGCTCAACATTCAAATATATGACTAGTGCTTGCCGTAGCAGTGCAGTTTGCTTCAAAAACCTCCACCTTCCCCAGCTCCACCTGTATAGATCTGCTACGAGGTGATTCATGTATGCTATATGGGGGTTATTTCATGTATGTTATATTTGCAGCAGCAATATTTCTTACATGCTCACAGCTCACACATTGTGTATGTATTGTCAGTAGCAAGTAGCAAGTCTCGGTACTTGCTCTGCAGCAGCAGCAGCGTAGCAGATCTATTCTGCCAAGACCAAATACATTAACATTATCATGTACATTACCATGACAATCCCTCCGAGAGTTGTCATGACAGAACTATTTTAATGGCTGCAACAGCAGCTGTGTAATTAAGAAGCGAAAGAGAGAGAGAAAAAAGACACGGGCTCTTGTCGGACTTGGGTCGAGAATACTGGTAAGCTGTCGGACAAGGGCTGGCTAGGGCTTATTTGAGGCCCGTGCAGCAGCAGCAGCGTAGCAGATCTATTCTGCCAAGACCAAATACATTAACATTATCATGTACATTACCATGACAATCCCTCCGAGAGTTGTCATGACAGAACTATTTTAATGGCTGCAACAGCAGCTGTGTAATTAAGAAGCGAAAGAGAGAGAGAAAAAACACAGGCTCTTGTCGGACTTGGGTCGAGAATACTGGTAAGCTGTCGGACAAGGGCTGGCTAGGGCTTATTTGAGGCCCGTGCAGGGGCTATACCTGATTTCTGCATTTGGAAACGAATGTTGTGAATCAGGGGTTGTTTTCTAATTAAATGACAAAATTCTTAAGTGTTGTCTAATTATTATTATTTATTTATTTATTTTTACATTTTACGGACTCCCCCAATCTCCCGCATGCCGAAACACTGTATACGAAACCATATTATTATCAGAATCAGTATTATTATTATTTAAAAAATGGTTTAATTATGATTGAAACACCTTTTAATTAATACAAAGGAACGATAAAAAGTGATCAATTTCTTAATTCACGGACATAATTTTCGGCATGTCATGGGCTCTGTATATGAGCACAATATGTGTGACCTGCTGAAATACATCAGCGAGTTATTAAATGTAAGTTTCAAGCCTTTCATTTGTGACATTAATGTGACTATAGTGCCAAAATATGTGTTAGAACTAGGCCTATAACACTCAACAATAAGCCACCTTTTCAATCGTTTTATTTTTTATGGCACACCTCCTTAAATGTAATCTAAACATTCCAAGTGAATATCCTACATTTTGTAGGATTTCTAGGCGTTTTTCATGTCGCAGTTTTAGCCTATTAATCTTGATTTCTCACTACTTATTTTGTTCAAGGTTTTTTTTTTTTTTAATGGTGTGAGTCAATTGCGATGTGAATAGAGTCTTATGAACTTGTACAGAGGACCAACAGCCAAGGTCAGGATTTTTCGTTCAAAAACTTTCATTAGCCTGTAGATTGAAATGAAAGCCCCTTAATACAACATAAGGACATAGTGTAATTTTAATGGTTTCCATAATGACTGTTTAATAACCATAACATGCAGAAAGAGCCTTTGTGTAAATTTAATTCTTTTTTTATTTTTGATGTGTTGGGCTGCAGCCCACGACTATCCCATGCTTTGAAATTAACCCTCACTGTAAATTTTCTAAAGATTTTTTAAGGATGTTATAAAGTTATAGTTGTTTTATTTATTATAAAAATATTTTTAATGGTAGTTTTAGTATTAGTTTTAGTTCAGGATAATAACCCTGTTGTAAAAATATAAATTGTGTCTAAATAAGCTGTACTTCAGTATGAATTATTTTACCAAACTGAATTAAGGATGAGTTGGAGCAGAAAGAAAGAAAAGAAGCCTGTATGAGAACTACATCAATACTGCAGGAAAAGCATCTAAAGCATAAATTCTTTACTCTATTTGTGTTATTTCATAGAAATATTTGTTAAGCAGCATCATTATTATGAATGCACAGAATTAAGGCTAAAAAATTAATATACATCCCTAACCATAAAACGTAAACTTTGTTGTGAAACCCATATCATTTGTGTTCCAGACATCAATGATTCCTCAAATCATGTGTGCTGCGTGTTGTGGAGAGCTGTGCTGTTA